CCATTTCCATATATAATATAGGCTTGTGCCATTTGCTCTCCCTTCACAACCCTCAAGATAGCCCTGGTGAAGCTTCCCCGTCCCCCTCCCCCTCGGCCTGCTCCTCCTTTGCTGGGGGGAAATGGGGCCAAGGGAGATGCAGTGTGAGGAAAACTGCAGCCCCACTCCTGCATGTCTCCAAGGGCCCCCTCCCTCGAGGGAGGAAGAGGGCTCACCCATCGACCACTGGCACCCCCCAGCCAGCCCTACCTTGCCAACAGGCATCCAAGTCACCCTCGTCCTTCCCTCACTTGCAAGTGCTGTTAAGAGATGTCCAATTTCTGCCCCAATCGCCGCTTGCCTGTCAGGCCTTGCCACCAGCCGATTGGGCGCAGGGGACAGAGGGAGGCAGGAAAGAGGTCAGGAATAGGCCCATGACGATCATGTGACCTGGGTTGACTGCTGCAGTGCAGAGTTGAATCAGCCACAAGTTTCCCAACTTTCAATCCCACCGGAGTCGTGGGTCCTTACATTCGGTAAGTTAGCCCATTTGAGGTACCTTGTTGGGAAATTGTTGCCCTCCCAGGCACCATTTCACCCAGTTAAAGGTTACAGGCAGGAGAGTTTTAGTAGTATATAGATATACTTACTATACACATATAGTATGTATGTATGTGTGTGTATGGAAATATAACCAATTATGCAATTTTGCAGTGATTATGCAAAAGCATAATCATAAATGTAGCATAAGAAAAATATTTATGGTTGGATCCTGTTCTGAAATTTATCATTCCAGAAATTAAGACGTAATGATCATTTTGTATCAACGTAGCATTAATAGAGTTTTGTTCACCTTTAACAAAATAAATTAATATTAGAAACAATGCTTTTCAATGTTGGGCTGTTTTTATTTTATCCCCTGTTTTAAAAAAATCAGTACAAATTTTAAATCTGCAAATTCTATAAATAATTCTAAAATGCACCAAAAATCATTTCAGTTTTTTCTAACAACCAGCAGTTGTCATTTGTTGAATATTACATAAGGTAGGAGTCCAAAATAATTTAGTAAGTACAGTCAACCAAAAATAATCAAGAAAAACTGCTTTAGATGCTCAACATCTGTAGCAATAATTTTGATCATCACTATATTTTTACATCTCACTGATATCTAAAGATTTTTACATGCCAAGTTTTTTTTTAAAAGATAGATGTATTCTGGGATGTTTTCTCCTTTTGATAGATGATCTGCTTATCAGAACTGCAGGTGCTTCAGTTGCTTACTGAGACCAAGATATGTAAGGGTAGTACTTTGAAGTCAATGCCAAAGACAGGAAAATGCATCCTGAAAAGTGGTTTTTAGAATTAATAATGTGCTCTCTCCTTGCTTTCTATGATGGAAAAAACTGGGTGCCAGTCCTTGAATCCAGGTAGAAAATAAAATAAATTCTCCCAGGCAGCTTCCATTGATTATGTCAGCCATAACTATAACTCAGCTTGTCATAATGAAGTTTGTACGGGAATATAAACTAGCAAAAAAAAAAGCCATTTTGAATTCGCCGGATATTAAACATGCTAATGTTATTCAATATCCAATTACAGAGTTTCTGGAAAGACAATTATAATTCTAGAAGATAAGGAGTCTCAATGACTTCATTGGACAGGTCAGCCAAAACTGCCTTATCAGCCATCTGTTCTTGGGGTGGTAAAAGATTTTCAACTGATATTATAAACTTTTAAACTTTGTCATAATTAGTGGGGGAGAGGGGAGGGTATACGGTTCTGAGACTATTAATGGGAGCTAGAATAACTTCTGGTTTAGTCCTTGAAGAGCTGGGCCATACCTTTGCTGGAGAAGCTTTCATCTGGTGGTATTCTTGGCACTTTCTGATGTTTTTGTGTTAGGAAGAAAATTGCTAAAATAGAAGAATGTGCCTTTAAGCAGCATATGTGGGTATTACCATAGCCTGGAGAAATAAATTAAAATGTTCCACTTCCAGGTTGGTAAATGATTTCTTATGATAGTTTCATTAGGCAGCCACCATAAATGATAGCGTGTATGGAGCTTCAAAGCATGCTTGACTTCATCAGAGCTTTGATCTAAGTGAAAGTCAAGCAACATATCTCTTTTAAGTATCAGAGTCAAGAGAATCCCCTGCTTCAATCCACATGATTATGGGAGCAGAGCAGCTCAAGTATCCCTGACTTGAAACAGAGGTGAGGGGAGATGCTGCATCCTGGTGAAGTAACTCCCTTGCACAAAGCAAAATAAACTAAACAAGGCAGACTGCATCTGGTCTACACCAGCCAAATAAAAACTGAATTCTACATTTATCCATCCAGGCTTCTCTATGTTGTTCTTCTATGTGATTGAGAAGTGCTGGCCCCAAATAATTTTCTACCAGAGGCCAACCCCTTAACTGTGCCAACCCTCTGGACCATTGCACTTTCTGAATTGAAGCTTTTTGACTACTTGGCAAGCGAAGTGAGTCTTTTATTTCTTGTATTCTTTTGGTATACCTCCC